GAGGTTCTACTACTGAGGAAATAAGAACAGATTTTGGGGGGAAATTAGGAGTCCCTGCCACCCTACTGATAATGTTGTTACAAAGATTAAATGAGAAAATATGTATACTATGCTTAGAACATGCCTGATAGATAATACCTGCTCAGAACTAGGTCATTGTTTTTATAATTGTCTTTGGTAGACAGTGATCCATTTTCCCTCTGACATTCCAAATTCGCTCTGTTAATTTGTTCAGCATATATTGAGCATCCCTGATACTGAATAATGTGCCTCCGAATAATCTATCAGTAATTGAAAGAAGACCATCATCCAAGATGCTCACCCTTTGTTGAAAAGCTCTAAAACTTAGGGAATTCTTTATCAGACTGATCCAAAACTTACCTCCCCAATAATTCATGTCTTAGCCCTGATCCTACCTTTTGAAACTACAAGATGAGCCCATTTTCTCATCTCAATTCTTCAAATAAATAAAGACAGCTATCAAGCCTCCCACATAGTTTTCTTGTTCTAAACATGCATTTCATTAACTCATTTTTTTATTTAGTACATGGGCTGGCAAACTTTTCTGTAAAAAACCAGGTGGCAAATATTTTCAACTTTGTAGATCATATGGTATCTGTCTCTACTTTTCAGCTCTACTATTATAATGCAAAAGCAGCCACAGACATGACATATATGAATAGATGTGGCTGTTTTCCAATAAAATTTTATTTACAGAAACAGATTTGGGACTTACTAGATTTGGGACTTAGGATGTAGTTTGCCAGTCCTTGCTTTAGCCCATGAAAACACCCATCAACAGTATTACTCCTGGCCCATAGTCCCCTCTCCTGAAGCTAAAAACTTACCCTGTCGCTCCTGATTCTGCTTATACATTTCATTTCTTTTTCTTGTCTTAATGCTTTGGCTAGAATTTCCAGCAATTCCTGCATCTCCATAGATCTACTTCCCAGTCAGTCATTTCTTTAGTTGTATTACCTATCCCCAAATATCTCAAGATTGGACATATTATCTTGACAAGTACCGTCTTGTTCTGCCATATTTTTAGCCCACACCTCCTTTGACCTCTCCCAGGCTAGCACTTACCCAATCTCCCCCATAAACCTGTACACACTAAGGAAAGAAGAATCCCTTCTTCCATCTTTTTCTTCTTCAAACCCACTAGAGTATGATCTTTATTCAGTACTTTAGGTTTTCTTTAGCCAACAGTCTAATGCCGAGGTAACTCTAACCTTAACCTAACTCAACCAACTTCCCTTAAAAACAACCTAGAACTGACCAAGAGTGAGTAAGTAGAAAGTTAACAGTTATTGATGGGTCTGCTGCTGCTGACGTATAATATATATATATATATTTCATCTCAATATTATAGATGTGGAAAGTATGTCTCAAAATTGATAATTTAACCAGCTCAGGATCATGCAGCTTAGAATTTAAGGAGTTGATCCCAGATGTAGAACTGAAATTAAAATTTGGGTGGACCTAGTGAAAGGAGTGTGTACATCTGGTATAAAAAATTCAATGCTGTGTCACTGATACAACAGACCTGCTGAACCTTGGTTGTTCTTTCTTATCAAGATATTTCAAGGCATAGAATAATAAACGTTTGCCTTGAATTTTTGGTTTTCAAAGCATTTCCTTCACAACCTGATGGAGTAGGTGATTTTATTTCTATTTTACAGGAGAAGAAATCAAACCCCAAAGTGGTTAAAATTTTTACCTGACATACCAGACCCCACTGTCTGGTTGTTTCTTTTTATGACTGCCCACATTTGCTCTTCCCTGAAAACTCCACCCCATCTCTTTAACTACTTCCTACTTACCTTTTGAAACTCAGCTCAGTTGTCAGCTTCTGAAAGAAACCCTCCCTGGAAATCACTGCCACCTCATCCCCACTATCTGTTTTAGATGTTCTTCCTCTGTGCTAATGTAGATTATAGCTCTATTTACACTGTACTTTGGTGACTTATCAGCTGGTAAGGAAATCCAGAACAAGATCCCTGTCTTATTTAATTTTATACTCAACAAATATTTGTTAAATAAAGGAATGGTCTGAGATTGAAGCAAGTCTAGTGCTCTAAAAAGTCTGCTCCCTGTAATGTTGCTCATCGGTGATTCGTGATAGTAAGCTGGAGGCAAAGCAAAGACCTTTGCTTCGATGTCTGTGTGTATCCTCAGCCTTCCAGAGACAAAGCCACATATAAGATAGGCTTCTCCTATCATCCATGAGTCTTTACAGCTAGACGACATCAGAAACCCAAACCCATAGGGCTTCAGAGTAGATGGAAGAGAAGGCAGCATAGTCTTTGGTTAAGAGAAGAGATTCTGTAGTCAGTCTTCCCGGATTTGAATCCTGTCTCTATCAGTTGCTAGTGGAGAGATCTTTGGCAATTCACTTAGCTTTTCTGTGCTTTGGTTTCTAATCTTTCAAATATGGATAGCAGAATTTATTTGTATTAGTTATCTATCACTGTTTATTAGCCCAAAATGTAGTGGCTCAAAGCAATAAACATTTATTATCTCACAGTTTCTGTGGTCAGGAATGTGGGAAAAGGTTTATCTGTCTGAGGGTCTCTCAGGTGGTTGCAGTCAAGACATAGGTTGCAGGTACAATATCTGAAGTCTTGACTATAGCTGGAGGATTCACTTCCAAGATGGTTCACACTCACATGGATGTTGTCAAGAGCCTTCCATACTTGCCACAGGGATCTCTCCTTAACAATATGGCAGCAGATTACCCTCAGAGCATGTGAGAGAGGAGTAGCAAGGAGGAAGCTCCAATGACTGATTCTCAGCAGTCATGTACTGTTCCTTCTACCATATTCTGTATGTTAGAGGGAAATCACTAAGTATAACCCACATCCAAGGGGTGGGGAATTGGTCTCCACCTTTTGAAGAGAGGAGTATCAAAGAATTTGTGGACATATTTTAAAACCATCACACTATCTCATAGCGTTGAGTGAGAATTACACAAGATAATAATTGCAGAGTTGCCAGGCACAATGGCTCACACCTGTAAGTCCAGCACTTTGGGAGGCTAAGGTGGGAGGATTGCTTGAGCCCAGATGTTCATGATCAGACTGGCCAACATGGTGAACCCCTGTCTTTACAAAAAAATACAAAAATTAGCCAAGCACAGTGTTGTGGTCTCACTTACTTGGGAGGCTGAGGTGGGAAGATCGCTTGAACCCAGACTGGTTTTAAAATATGTCCACAAATTCTTTGATACTCTCCGTTCAAAAGGTGGAGCCTAATTCTGCTCCCCTTGAATGTGGCTTATACTTAGTGATTTCCCTCTAACATATGGAATATGGTAGAAGGAACAGTATGTGACTGCTGAATCCAGGAGGCAGAAGTTGCAGTGAGCAGTGATTGGGCCACTGTACTTCAGTCTGGGACTCTGTATCAGAATGAGACTCTGTCTCAAAATTGTAATGATGATGATAATTATAATACTAACAAAAATAATTGCAACATCCTTAGAACATGAACTAGACAGCACCAAAATATTTCCCCTTTCTCCAACTTTGAATTATTTACCTCATGGGTAAGAAAGGACATATTAGCTATCAATCTGAAGGCTGTGGCCTGAAAAATCTCTTTAAAAATTAGGACAAATATTTGAATTCAAGTTAGTGCCATATGCCATTAAAGTTATCTGTATAACTTTTCTTGACCTGAAAAGTTGTTCATGGTATGCTTTGAATTTTTAAAGCAGGTACAGAACAGAATGCCCAATATTATCTTTGCATAGCTAAATATGTATATCTTTATGTATGTTGATGCATAGGGATTGTCCTGGAAGGAGGTTTCTTAAAGTAATAATAGTTATTGCTGTGTGGTAGGATTCATTAGGATGCTAAGCTAGGACACTGCTGCTCTGTGTGGGATGGTTTATTCCCTGCAAAGATATGAATGCTAGAGTGTCCATTGATTTTTTTAGAGTAGTTGTAGAGATATGCATATACTGGGAGCCTCTCACCTGAGAAGCTGTGTTTGTGCTTGAGGGAACACATATGGAAGGGAAGAAGGGATAGTTGATAATTCTTTGGGGAAAGAGGATATGGGAGAAGCAAGGGAAGAAAGATATCTATTTGATGAAGAGCAAAGGCAAGGCCAAGCTGGTGTTGACAGCAGAGTGTGACTGCTCATTAGTTGTCTTGGGAGGAAGAGCTTTACCTGCAAAGGAATGATATGCTTATGATGGGCACCCTCTAATCCCACAGTGCCTTGTATATCCTTTATAACTGTGTTTCCACATTGGATAGAAAATCTTTTTATTCCCTCTCTCTATTAATAGAGTTACAAGCAGTTCAGTTTTGTTAGTGACCAATTATTTCAGGTTTATATGTCTGGAAAAGTTTTTACTTAATTTTTATTTGCAGAAGATATTTTTGCTGGGTATAGAATTTGAAGTTAACAGTAGTTTTTCTTTCAGTACTTTGAAGATTTACTCCACTGTCTTCTGGCTTACATTGTTTCTGATTAAATGTCTGCCATCATGCTTATCTTTGTGCCTCTTTGTTTAATGTGCCTTATTTCTCTAGATTCCTTGGCCTCCCTGAAGTCTCAACTTTTTCTTTTCTACTGAGGTAAATTGTTGGATTTTACCTGAATTTCCTTTTTCTACCTTGTAGCCTGGAAACTTTCTAAGAAGTAAGCAAGAGCATTTATAGAGCTCACTTCATTTTTTTTCCTTCTTTCAGAGGTCAATGTCTGTGTTGCCTGTTGTTCAGTGTCTGAAAACCATTTTTTTTCTTGATTTTTATTTTTAATTATTTAAGGTGGATGAATAAATCTTGCCCTTGTTATTCCCTTTTGGCTGGAAGTAGAAGTTCTAAAATATTAAATCAAAAAATAAATGCTAAAACGTAAAAGCCAACTTCTGATTGCAAAACAACCCTTTTTCTCAAAATTGGTCTTCATCTTGGGAGTATGAGCTCATTTTTTTAAAAACTCACTGAGTGACACAGTGTTTGACATTATCTCTTTTCTTACAGGAAACAGGAATCATTCAAACTGGATTTTTAAATCATTACAAGTCAATGATGTATCAGAAGTTGCAGAGTGCAAGCCCGAGTAACAGTCTTCAAAAAATTTTGCTTCACATAACAGAGAAAGGAAAATTGATCTACCATCTTAAAACCCTGATCTAGAAAAAATATATATTCATCATAAGAAATTATAACTGAGAAAAATTATTTTCCTCTTAATGCACCTGAATGAAAGGAAGTATCCCTTTGTTTCTTGGGAGGAGTTGTATGTCTGAGATTGTCATAATAATGAGTCATTTTATTAAAACCTTGACATGATCACCAGGGAAGAGAAATAGAGCAATAGCTGGAACCTGTGTGTTAGTCCAAGATGACTTCTGAAGAAATGACAGCTTCTGTTCTCATACCTGTGACTCAGAGAAAAGTGGTTTCTGCCCAATCAGCTTCAGATGAAAGTAGTGAAAAGGTCTCAGACATCAATATTTCAAAAGCACATACTGTCAGACAGAGTGGGCAGACTTCTCATACCATCTCACGACTGAACAAACTTAAAGAAGAATCTTCTGGAAGCAACTTGCCAGAGATTCTCTCAATAGCAAGGGAGAAAGTAGTGAGTGATGAGAACAGTAATGAAAAATCCTGGGAGAAAAGCATACCAGATTCTGTGAAAAACCTTAACATTAACTGCAACAACATGTTGAGAAACCATCAGCATGGCCTTCCTCAGAGACAGTTTTATGAAATGTGCAACTCTGTCGCTGAGGAAGACCTGTGTTTAGAAACTGGAATTCCTTCTCCACTGGAAAGAAGGGTGTTCCCTGAAATTCAACTGGAACTAGACAGACCTCCCATGGACATTAGTCCTTTGGGAAATCAGTCGGCTATCCTAGAGACAGACAGAGCACACCCTGACAGCAGCACGACAGTGTTTCATTTTCATTATGAAGTTGAAAGAAGAATGTCAGACACTTTCTGTACCCTATCAAAAAACTTAATTTTAGATGACTGTGGAAATTGTGTACCACTACCCAGGGGTGAGGAGAAGCAAAAGAAAAACTACGTGGCATATACCTGTAAACTAATGGAATTGGCAAAAAATTGTGATAATAAGAATGAGCAGCTGCAGTGTGATAATTGTGACACCTTGAATGAAAAATACTTTTGCTTTGAAGGCTCTTGCCAGAAAGTTGACATGGTATATTCAAGTGATAGTTTTTGCAGGGAAGATTTTAGTGACAGTCAAGCTGCCAAGACCTTTTTGAGCCATTTTGAGGACGTCCCTGATAAATGTGAAGATGTAGAAGAAGACTTTTTTAAAAGCAAAAAGGAGCGGTCCACTTTGTTAGTCAGAAGATTCTGCAAAAATGACAGAGAAGTTAAGAAATCTGTGTATACTGGAACAAGAGCAATTGTGAGAACTCTGCCTTCTGGCCACATTGGGCTGATTGCATGGAGTTACATTGATCAGAAGAGAAATAATCCCTTACTGTCTTGTGGGAGAGTAATGGAACCCCTGACAACGGTGAAGATAAGGCAAGGTGGGAGCCGACATCTATCAGAAGCCCAGTGGTATCCTGTAAGCATTTGAGTTTCTTTATACCATTTCTTTAAACTTGCTTTTTTAAAAAATCCAAATTTCCATTTCTTGATTCATGAGAAATTTTAAGATCTGTCAAATTATGATTCTTAGGATAAGCATTTGTAGTTATTGAAAATAGATACTCCAATTGACAGCTACCAAGATTGAGTTGATACTGCAATATAAAAGTATGTCAGAAAATACTATTATTGGGAGTAGAGGGATTAGGGAGATTTCCTGGTAGTGGAAAAAATGGATCCATCTGTTGATTATCTGTTTTTTGTTATTTTGAGATAAATGCCTGGTTCCTCTGCTATAGTGTAGTTCATTATTGTTTTTAGGTTTCCAGACCTAACAGAACTTAATTCTGTTTTTTTACATTTTCCAACTTCCCCACTTCCTTCCCTCTTAAACTTTTTTATGCCATGGACCCCTTTGGCAGAGTGATGAACATATGGATTCAGAATAATGTTTTAAAATGAGTCAAATGAAATCGAAAGCATCATAAAGGACAAGTTATGTTGATACACATTTATCAAGATTTTTTTAAAAAATTAACATGGCAATTTAGGTGCTTCTTTATTAATATATTAAATAATAGTATCTGGTGATGTGATAAGTATCATAATTTCAAATTATGGCCCTCTGTATTCTCAGTTTAGGTATCCATAGATTCAACCAACTGCATATTGAAAATAGTTTTGTAAGAAACAAAAAATAACAATATAACAATAAAAATAACACAAATTAAAAAACAACCAATACACTATAACACTATTTACATAGTATAAGGTATTCTAAGTAATCTAGAGAAGATTTAAAGTATACAAGATGAATGTATGTTATACACAAATACTGGGCCATCTTATATAAGGGACTTGAGCATCCTTGAACTTTGGTATTCATGTGGATGGTGGCAGTCTTGGAACCAATTCCTCTCGGATAGTGAGGGATAGTTGTAGTGATGAATGTAAGTAAGGAATAGATTACCTGAAATTTTCTCAGTTTTAGCACTGTAAATTTCATATCCTGGAAAACCCTTCAGACCAAACCAGGGCAGTTGGTCACCCTAAATATCAATAACATTTTAGGATATCTATCACAACTGTAGTAAGGTATGGAAATCTCTGTGACTTTTATTGTGACAAGATCACAGTTACTATTACTACTACTGAAGTTTGTTACCTATATTCAAAATTAAAGGAAATGTAAATTTCCATTTGGGATTAATGAAAATAATGATTCATTTTTTTTCCTTAACCAGATTTCCACGTCCTCTGATTCTATTCCCAGTCTCCCCTCTTTAAGAATCCTGTTCTAGAAATACATATGATCAGGCTGCCTGCTCTCAGACCTTATCTGTACTTCTGAGGACAGTGCCATGTGCCATCCTGGATTTTTTTTTTTTTATCCTGAACACTCTTTCTTCCTTCAATTATTCTCTATGTGAAACTGTTTTTAGAACTATCACATTCCAATTCTTCACAAGTCCTTTAAAACTCGACCCTAGAAATAAGCACCTGGTCTAGAGAAACATCCTTTTTGTTGAAATATAAGTGATATATTTTTACTTTCATCATCATCATCATCATCATCATCATCATTGTATTAGTCTGTTCTCATGCTCCTAATAAAGACTTACCCTAGACTGGGTAATTTACAGAGAAAAAGCGGTTCAATGGACTTACGGTTCCACATGGCTGGGGAGGCCAAACAATCATGGTAGAAGGCAGAGGAGGAGCAAAGACACATCTTACATGGTGGCAGGCAAGAAAGCATGTGCAGGGGAACCCTCATGTATAAAACCATCATATCTTATGAGACTTATTCACTACCTTGAGAACAGTATGGGGGAAACTGCCCCATGATTCAGTTATCTCCACCTGGCCTTGCCCTTGACACATGGGGATTATTACAATTCAAGATGAGATTTGGGTGGGGACACAGCCCAACCATATGAAATATCAATCAGGGTAGCTAACATTTATTGAGCATTCAAAATATGCCATATATTGGGCTAAATAATTTATATATTCCATGTTATATAATCATCTTAACTACCATATGATGTTGGTGTGATAATTAACCCTATTGTATTGCTAAGAAAACTGATTTCCTGGGAAATTATTTACCTTATCCAAGGTCACTTAGTAAGTAAAATAAGATTTAATTCAGGCAGCTCATACTCTTAGGTAGTTTCTTGAGATACAGAAAGAAATAAAATTCAGAGTAAGTGTTTAAAAGAACAGAAAAATTCTGTTCATTTCAGCATCCGTTGATTGAGTGACCCCATTCATTGATGCTCACAGTATCTCAGACTTGACCATGTTAGATATGGTGATTGTAACCCCACTTACATGTTGCAGTCACTGCCCAGACCCCTCCCCAGACCCTTTGAATCAGAATCACTGGGGTAGGGCACAGCATGAATATTTTTTCAGTGTTTCTATGGATTCTATGAAGTTGTGAACCATTGGCTGGGAGTTTAAACAGAGCTCTTTGCTTTCTGATCAGGACATTTCAGGACTATTTGCCCTTCTCTAAAAACCCTGACACCACTTGGGTTCTTAGGAAGATTAGGGCTGACCTGGGAACCTGCCTGAAAAGTGAAAGCCTGCATGTCCTTCTCTATACAGTTGGCCACTCACCCAGCCAGTGTCTAGGGATGTGTTTCTTTGACTTGATTCCACATGAAACCTGAGTCATAGATGAGGAGCTTGTTACCAGCATGCCTGTCCTGCTTGGCACTAGATGACTTGCGCAGCATCACACTGCCATGAAACTGCTGTTGAGAGCAACATGCATGTCATCCTAGTTAAAAGTACAGTGGTTTAAAAAAATCATGTACACTCGAACATTAAGAGTACAACAGAAATTTAAATATAGCAAAGTGAAATGGAAATAGCTTGCTTTAGAACATTTATCATAGTTTCCCAATGAGGGTTGTGAATCGGGTGTACATTTCAGAATAATTTTTGGTATCCCCATACTTTCCTCCAGTTTCTTCTTTTCTGCAGCCCTGCTGCTGTTTCTTAGCTTGTTCATTGGTCCCAGCTCAAACCTGCCCTTGTCCGTCAAAGGCCCTGGGATGGTTAATTTCTAATTGAAAAGGACAAAAGGGATGATGTAAATTGTCTCCTCCCTGCTTCTTAGTATCTGGAGGCTGGGAGAGGTTGCCACACCTCTGTCAGAGTAGACTCCAGGAACTTCTATCCCCTTGGTCTAAGCAGGCTTGGAGGAGGCTATTGGCATTTTTCTTAACCATTAAGATGCAGCTGGGGAATAGGTCGGTTGTCCTGTCCTTTCTTAAGGGAGATTTCTAAAGGGGGAGCCCTTTCTGAATATCCAAATCATACCATAGCAGGAATGAATCAGTATTTTTTTAGGTATTACATTCTATATATCTTGTTTTTTAGTTTAGGATCTGGTAGAAATCCTAAAAAGTTACGCAGGTGAATTATAACTAGTTTCCCCAGCTCCTATGAATTACTTCCTTCAAAGATGCAGACCCTAAAGTTATCCTCCTTTTCCTGTGTTTTGGTCATTTCATAGGTGTCCGTTCTGGTTCCTCAATCAGATTGTAAATCAATTAAGGACAAGAAATGAGTTCTGCATTTTTTTACTCTCCATGATGCAAGTATAATGCCAAATATATAGAGAATAAGGACAATGTCATGGTTAGAAATACAGTCTCTGGGGTCAGTCGACCTGAATTTAAATTGTGACCCTGACTCCATTGCTGACTGGCCATGTGAATTCTGGTACACGGTTTGACCTCTTTGTTCCTGATTACCTTTTTTATAAACTGAGAATAGTGGTGTTATTGTGGCGTTAAATGAGATGCTACTCACTGCACAGTTCCAGCAAGGAGCGAGTGCTGCTTTCTCACCCTGGCCATTGTGGATATACTTTGTCGAGAACACATTTCCACCTCCTTCTGCTGTTTGTCTTCTCACTCAGGGGTGTTACAGTGGCATGAATTTGAATGCGTGTTTCTCAATCTATAATGTGGTAGTTTGAACAATCCTTCCCACACATTTAAAGAATGTGCTATTTGTCCAATTAATTCCTTGGCCCTCAACATTAAACATTGTTTTTTTCTTGGATGCCTTGGTCAGAATGACCCGTTTAGTTTGTATTTGCACAGCTGTGTAGAGAAGAGTGGATTTGAATGGAAAACACTAATGAAGATTAATGCTTGCTGACATACTGACTATATTGGTATCCTCCTTCTCCTCCTCATAAGAAATTAAAACCCTATCCCTTATCCAGTTATAGTCATATTCCCTCTCTCCTGCTCTGAAACAAGATGGGATATTTTGACAGGTGGCTGAAGTCTCCAGGTTAAAGATTGGTTAAGGGTGTTTTTCCTTACAAAAAAAAAAATTCTCAACCTGCCTGAATTTTGAGGAGTTTAGATACATATAGTTATCTTGAATGTGAAGTACAAGAAGTTTCTGCTTCTGTCCTGCTGGAGTTGCCCATGTAACCCGAGCTCCACAGGCAGTCAGAGAATGTGGAGGCGCCAGAGCAGGCATTCCACTGGCTCCTGTATTATCACTTCACTTATTTCCCTTCTTTGTTCCACAAGAAGATTTACTGTAGAAGAATATGTATGACAAAATAGAAAAAAACTCAGATAAAGTAAAAAACAAAGAATACAAATGAAAAGTAAAGAATGAATAAAAATATTTTATATCAGACTACAAAAGGTATAATTTAAAAAGTAAGGTCAAAAGCAGCTTCTATATTCCTGCTTCTTATTCTGTTTATTTCCTTTTAAAATGTGCCTTTCTTCTTTGTGCTTTACTCTCAAGCACAGAAAATTAATCCTAGGAGGCAACTATTTTTTGAGTGTTTCACAAAATTGCCTTTGTTGGTATACATGTCCTTGATTCTATATTTTGTCTCTTTCAAATTGAAGAGACCTGAACCTTAGGGGAGACATAATGTCTGTTATGCGTAAAGGGACCTACCAATAATAAATTCACCTTCTA